CCAGGATCCAGTGTTCCAGTGTTCGGGGGAAGCTGTTTTCTGGAGGCCTCTGATTTATTCCTCTCTGGGCACCATCCTGGAACTCACCCCATCCTGAAAGTTGGGGAGAGGACTGACCTGGAACCCCGTCCAGAGAGAGGTCTGATTGGACAGGCCATATCCACTATAGTCCAGAGTAGAGAGGGTGATCTTTGGATTGGATCCCTTTTCTTGGATGTGTCCTATCAAGGTAGGTAATGGAGGGCTTTCTGTGGGAAGTCTGGAGGGCAGAAGTGAGGCAGTTACCCTGGTGTAGCCTACGCAGGGCCCTGCTGCTCCATCAACCTGAGTCTCAGGTTAAAGCTGAACCTGTGACTACTTCCTCGTTTCTCATGGATTCTCCTCCAGCTCCTCCCACTGTGTGTGTGTGTGTCCAGTTCCATGATGAAGGAGTCCAGCTTAAACAGGACATCTGCAACCCCCCCCCCTCCCCACACTTCAGAAGGACTCAGAACAGATGTGGTGTTCTGTCCCCTGCCCTCCCCTGCCCAGGGTGGAGGCCCCAAGGTTTCTGCCTTTTTTCTTGATCTCACCGGTTTTCAACTTACCTCCCCTGTCACTAACTTCAAGTTCCAGGAGTGAAGGCAGCAGTCCAACACCACTACTGCCTGAGCTCAGATCCCTGTGGTAATAAAGCCCTGTGCACAGTAAGAGATACCATGCCAGTGGCTCATCCCTGAAATCCTAGCTACTCAGAGGGCTGGGATCTGAGGAGGGTAGTTCAAAGCCAGCCTGGGCTGACTCTTATCTTCAATTAATCACAGAAAAAAGCCAGAAGTGGAGCTGCATATCAAGTGGTAGAGCATTAGCCTTGAGCAAAAGATGCTCAGGTGCAGCATCCAGGCCCAGAGTTTAAGCCCCAGACTAGTAAAAACAAAAGAAAAAGGATACCATGCCTACACATACAGAGAAAGAAATCTGCATCTAGATACAGACAGAACATTTCTAATTTGAAGGTCCAATAATGTAAAATGCTCCATTTTTGTTGTTGGTTGGTTGGTTGGTGCTGATACTGGGGCTTGAACTCAGGGCCACATGTTCTCTGTTGGCTTTTGCACTCAAGGCTGGTGCTCTGCTATTTGAGCCACAACTCTATTTTTGACTTTTTTGCTGGCTAATTGAGGATAAGAGTTTTTTGGATTTATCTGCCTAGGTTGGCTTTAAACCTTGATTCTCAGATTTCAGCTTCCTGAGTAGCTAGGATTACAGGTGTGAGCCATTGGCTCCTGACTCCCACAAGATTTTCATGATATCAGTGTACAGACAGTACACATCTGTACATCCATCTCTTAAGCTTTTACTACTGATGATTTAGAAGTGTGTCATTCAGGGTTTGACTCTGTCCAGATTTTACTTATTTAGCCCTATTTGGTTCATTGCTGGCTTGCCTCTCTTAACTCAGATGCTTCTGAGCCTCTGGGCTATCCTTTTGCATATTAGTAGTCCCCTGCTGGTCATCCAGAAGCCTCTGGGGAATTAGCACTAACTTGCATGTTCACAGGCGCAAATAGGAGGTAGGGAACAGTACTCACTCCCAAGTCAGGGAGTGAGGTTTTAACGTGGCCCCTTCAGAACTCTAGCTTGGGAGTCTGCCTCCGTAGTTTCTAGTTAGTATATCCTGTTTAGAAATACCAACTTAAAAAAAGAAGAAGAAGAAGAAATCCAGGTGCTGATTGCTTATACAAGTAATTGTAGCTACTTAGGAGACTAGATCTGAGGATCATGGTTTGAAGCCAGCAATGGCTGAAAGGTCCATGAGACCTGAGCTCTAATTACTGGTAAAAAAAAAAAAAAACTGAAGTGGAGGGGTGGTACACAGGCCCTGAGTTTAACCCCAGTATTGACACTTGTACACATGTGCACACACACACACACACACACACACACATGCGCACGCGCACGAAATAAAAGAGGAAAGAAAGAAAAGTCATTTAAGCTGTAATTACCCTATCCCAGACTTTTACTATGTTTAAGTCAAAAGACAATGGACCTAAGGCCTGGTTTCTAGCTCCTCCACTGCCTAAGTAACCAGCTTAAAAAGTTTTCTCCATGAACAAATGGCCAAAGAGAAAGAAAAAGAACTTTGGAATAAACTTCTTATAACCTTTAATGTTTTCAGGGCTGGTACAGGCAGAAGCCTGGGGAGTGGGGGGAACAGCAAGGTATTCGCTGGCAGAAAGTGATCAGGTCCTCTGTGGCTGGATCACAGATGCACCAGGAACTTTGTCAGTGTCATATTTCAGAACATTCTAGAAATGTGCTACCGGGATTGCAGTTGTTCCTTCTTCTTTACCTCTGCCCAGATGTCTGATAGGTCTTGGATGAACTGCTGGATCTGAGAAGATACGGAGATCGGGGATCACCCCACCAGCCAGAGGCTTCCCCCATCCCAAGATAGAACATCTCCTTGACATCCATACATCTCTTTCCCACATCTGCCTTCACCTGAGGCCATACCACCTTATTTGACAGTTTTTCTAGGAGAAATTGAGTAAGGCTACTATTCGATCTCTAATATCCAGAGTAGGATGGAGTCAGGACTTCCTAAAGGCAAAGACAGTATGAATCAGCCCAGGGAGAAGAGAGGGAGGCCATCCCAGATGGGCCACAAATAAAAAAGCATTTACAGGCAGGACCCACAGATGGTCCTGAACAACTTCAAAGTCCCGGAGGTGGTCATGGACTTGGCACCCAGACCTGATGGTCGTTATATTCCTCTTGAATCGTCAAGGGGTGTTTAAATTCTAGTCACTAACTTCTGTTTTAATGAGCTTGCAGTGAGGATGACACAGCACTGCCCTGCAGGTCAGGAGACCCAGCTGGGCTCCCCAAGCAGCTCTGGGGAAATTACTTCACTCTTCTGGAACTCCTCCTCCCTCCCTTCCCCCTTCCTTCTCCTCTATCCTATCCTTCCCTTCCCCGCCCCCTTCATTGTTTTTATCTTCCTTTTGCAGTGTCTGGGATGGATCCCAGGGCCACACACATGCTAGGCACATGTTCACCACTAAGCCACATCCCAAGCCCAGTTTCTACATTTTCAAAGGTGTATCTCAGAGGTACAGTGTGTACTTCAATGTGTGAGGCCCTGGATTCAATTTTTTATTTTTATTTTTTGTCAGTTGTGGGGCTTGAACTCAGGGCCTGGGTGCTGTCCCTGAGCTCTTGTTGCTCAAAGCTAGTGCTCTACCACTCTGAGCCACAGCGCCATTTCCAGTTTTTTGAGTGGTTAATTGGAGATCAGAATTTCATGGGGACTTTTCTGCCCAGGCTGGCTTCGAACCATGATCCTCAGATCTCAGCCTCCTGAATAGCTTAGGATTACAGATGTGAGCCACCAGTACCTGACTGGATTCAATTTTTAGTAGGATTTCCATGATGGGCTGCCATAATAGAATGGACCCAGAGCATTCAGGACATCCCACCTATTAAGCTAGATGTTAAGGGGTTTTGTCCAAGTGTCCAACACTGACACTCTCCTCACACAAAAATTTAATTTGTGCATGCCAGTACTGAGTCTTGAACTCAGGATCTAGGCACTGTCCCTTATCTATTTCACTCAAGACTGGTGCTCTCTTTGAGCCATAAATCTACTTCTGGCTTTTTGCTAGTTAATTAGAGATAAGAGTCTCATGGACTTTCCTGCCCTGGCTGGCTTCAAACTGCAAACTCAAATCTCAGCATCCTGAGTAGCTATTATTACAGGTGTGGGCCACCAGTGCCTGGCTAAAATGAATTTTTGCCTGGATAAAAATTATTTAAAAAAAATAAAATGTTATCTCAGTTAACTTTTTTTTTCCTTGCTGGTCCTGAGACTTGAACTCAGAGGCTAGATGGTGTCCCTGAGTTTCTTTTGCTTAAAGTTAGCTCTCTACCACTTAAGCTACAGATCCACTTCCAGTTTTTTTTTTTTTTCTTGTAGTTTATTGGAGATCAGAGTCTCATGAATTTTTCTGCCCCTGTTGGCTTCAAACCAAGATCCTCAGATCTCAGCCTCCTATAGTTAGAATTACAAGCATGAGCCATCAGTTAACATGTTTTGTTTTTTTAACTTTTATTATTGTTTTGAAATGAATTGGTTACATAAATACTTTAAAACTTTGAATTCAGGATTTGGTAACTATCACTAGCTATAACGTATAGAAAGAAATGCTCTCTGGTCATTGCTGAATTTTTAGAATGTGAAAGCATCCTGTTACCAAAAATAAAAATCTGGGAATAAAAATCTGCCTCTAGAAGAAACTCCCTTGCAAATCCCCTTCTGTGGAATGTAAAATGGTTCCGCCCAGTTCTGCCTTAGGGTGCAAGCTGAGTATTTGATTCTTCCCAGCCAGCTGTTGGGGGAAGCATTCTGTGTTCCATGAGTTCCATTCCTCACAATCACCCTGTAGGTAGCACAAGTACTTGTTGAGCAATCATTTTTTGACTGGCTTGGGTTTCACATCCATTCACCAAATACTCTTGTGCCTACTTTTGTGCCAGGCAATGTCTGAACAACAACAACAATAACAACAACAACAACAACAAATCTCGGTTCTTGGGAGTGTTCTAAAGTTGCAAATAATCCATCATGGGTCTCTAAACTCCAGAAGAACTACTGGGGTATCTGGGGCACTTTCCCTCAGAGTGGGCTGTGTTTCACTGCGGCTGTGATTTTTAGGTGGCTCATGAGCATGGATGGCATGAAAGAACTCTGAATCATTCAGTGAGAAATCTATTTCCTTTTCGCTTTTCTCCTTCATTACTTCTAAGAACATCCTTAGTTTGGCACTAACATGACTAATGCTTGTCTCAACTTGCCAATTTAGCTTTTTAACAAAAGAGTGGGCTTCTAACTCAAGCTTTCAGTAAGCCACAGGGGCTCCCTGGAGTTTAATAAAGCCTGCTTCGCACAAATAATGAATTCAGTAGTGGGTCCCTGCCCTGGCCCCTGCAGTTTGGGGCCAGAAAGAGCCGTGCAGTGACCCTTGGAAACATTTCCACATTACTTGGGAACTTGCTGACTATGCAGAGTAGTGGTAGGTTTTCATGGCAGATCTACTGAGAAGGATCCAATAAAACTCCCTATTCCCCCCTCCTGGTGATTCTATTTTTGTTTTGTTGGTCATGGGTCTTGAACTCAGGGCCTGGGCTTTTCTGCTCAAGGCTAACAGTCTACCACTTTGAGCCACAGCTCCATTTCTGGTTTTCTGGTGGTTAATTGGAGACAAGAGTCCTACAGACTTTCCTGCCGGGGTTGGCCTTGAATTCTGATCCTCAGATCTCAGCCTCCTGAGTAGCTAGGATTACAGGCGTGAGCCACACTGGCCTGCGGCTCCCTCCTGGGGATTTTATTGGTAGGAATAGTCCAGAACCTCTGTTCTTTCCGGTTGAAGCGGAGAGCTGGGCCTCTTTGGTCCCCTCCCTCCATCCACCTGGCCCCTAGCGCCCGCCTCCTCCTACCATATCCAGCTGCTTGTGGGTGTCCTCCAGGGCCACCTGGGAGGCCTCCTTCTGCTGCTTGCTCACGATCTGGAAGAGGTTCAGTGTGGCCATCTTGATGGTGCCAAGGAGGAGGGTCTTCTTGGCGGCCGTGTTCTGGATGTGTGCCCAGCGCGATTCCTGGGGAAAGGGGATATGGACGGGATGTGTGTGTGTATGTGTGTGCGCGCGCACAACTGTGTGTGTGAGAGATCACAGGTATGTGTGAGCACAGTATATGTGTGCGAGATCACAGGTGTGCGAGATCACAGGTGTGCGTGCGTGCACGCGCCATTGCGGACATCCCACACCCAGATTGGGGGGGGGCCCCAGCGGTGCCAGGCCGGCGCTGCTCACCCAGAAGATGACGTCGCTGCGGGCTCGGTCGAAGCGCATCTGCAGCCGCGCCAGCTCGTTGTTGTGCTGGAGGACCTCGTCGTCCTTCTCCTCGGTGTAGCGGGCCAGCCGCGCCTTGGCGCGCTCGATCTTCTCCTGGCCCTCCTGCGCCGACTGCATGAGGTCGTGGCGCATGCTCACCAGCGTCTTGTAACGCGCGATCACTTCGTGGATCTCCTCGAACTGGAGTGGGGAGGGCGTGGCGTGCCTTGGGTCGTGGCACCCGGGACTCTCAAGGGCCCCTGGTGAGGTTCCACCCCTAAGGCTCACGCCTGTCACCCTAGCCAGGAGGCTGAGATCTGAGGATCTCATGAAAACCCATGAGATGTTTATGTCCGGTTAACCACCAAAAAGCCAAAAGTGGAGCTGTGGCTCAAGTGGTAGAATGAAAAAGCTAAAGGATAGCACGTAGGCCCTGAGTTTAAGTAATCACACACACCACACACACACACACACACACACACACACACACACACACACTCCCCAAAAAACCAAAGGAGGAGACCCACCTGAGCCTCACATCCCCAGACCTGGCCACCTAGGGCAGGCAGACCCAGGGCCACAGTCAAAGATAGGGCTATGAGGAGGTTGGGGTTCCACCACTAGAGTCTCTTGAGCCCCTGCACCCAATCTTAGCTATAGTTAGAAGGATTTGAGGCCCCTTACCAAGAGAGCCTCACCCCCAGAGGCTCACATTGATAACAGGTCTGAGGTGGCTTCAGGTATCTTGATTTTTGCAAAAGACCCCCTCCCCCATGTGATTGTAGGCATGGACAGAGAACTACTTGCAAGCCCCTAGCTGTGTGGAAAGGCTCAGGCCAGCAGGAGATAAGCCAGCCCCTGCTCTTCTGAAGTTTACAGCTGGGAGATAGGGAGGAGTGATGTGGAGGAGGACAGAGGCACAAATAAGTCATCTGGCATTCAGACATTGGGGCCCACTGGAGACTGAGGCCTAGTGCTCTGTGGGTATTCAATATTCCCGGTGGGAGAAGTAGGGGCTGGAGAGGGGCCACTGGTGGGGCAGGTGACTTGCTAGGGTCAGCGTGTCCCCTCCAGTGTGGTCCAGAACCATGCTATGCTCTGGCCTTGACCCAGAGACTCAGCCAGCACCACCAAAGCCATGCCATCCACTATCTGAGCTCCAGTTCCAAGAAGCCCCACCCCAGGAGCTCATCAAAGGGTGCTCTCCAGCCACCCAGGGCACACTCCCTAAGCACTTTCCTCATATCGTGACACTTCCCAGTGACAGACTGGTATCTAGGAACTACCACGTAGTTTTCCCTCAACTATGCCTTTTAGAGGCACCAGTGACTCATGTCTGTAATCCCAGCTACTCAAGAGGCTGAGATCTGAAGAGTGTTGGTCAAAGCCAGCAAAGACAGAAAAAAAAAATAATCCCTTGAGATGCTTACCTCTAATTAATGACCAAAAAGCCAGAAGTGGAGATGTGGCTTAGTGGTAGAGCACCAGCATGAGTGAAAAAGCTAAGTAAGAGTATGAAACCCTGAGTTCAAGTCCCAGTACTAGTGTGCATGCACACACACACACACACACACACACACAACCTTTTGGGGAGAATATCTTCCAACTAGTGCTGGAGGAGGTGGGAAAAAGGGTTCATGGGAGAAAAGATATCTGAAGTAATTCTGGAGATATGAATAGAAGGCAGTTGGGCAAAAGTAAGTAGAGGAACAGCATAGGTAATGACGAATGGGGGTGTGGGGGCTTCTTTGAGAGGTTCAAGACAGTAAAAATACTCATAGAAGTATAAAATATAAGTACTTATAAGTATTTAATAAGCTCTTCTCTATGCTATTGTATATGCTTGTATTTTCCTATAATAAAAATATTTTTTAAAAAGTAGATCATTGAAATCAGATGCTGACAGGTCACATCTGTAATCCTAGCTACTGGGAAGGTTGAAGAATGAGAGTTGGAAGGGTACGTGGGAGGTTCAACTGCCGGTAGTGTTTCCTTTAGGAAAAATGAACCAGGAAAATATTAAGATTTGGGGAGTGCCTAGGGCTGTTTTGTTTCTGTATACTTCCAGTATGCCTAATGCATTTTTAATTACTTTTTGTTGTTGTTGTTTTAGAGGAGATATACAGCAGAGTTACCTTTGCATATATCAGGTAAAAGTACCTTTCCTTCCTTTTGCATAGTATCATCTGTTCCCTCATTCTCTCTCCCATTCCCTCCCTCCCACCTCTATCCATGAGTTGTGTGGTTCACTTTCATCAATGTCCAGTGTAGCCAGGGGGCCCCACCACTGAGTATTTTCATCTGCTTTCCACCCCCCACCTTCCCTCAGATAGGCATGTGTGTACACTGTATATGAGGTAAAGAATCATCAGAATCATCAGAAAACAAAAAGACAAATTAAGAAAAGGTCCTTTGCTTCCTTATCTGTGGGGTTTGTTTCAGTATGTATATATATATATATATATATATATATACATATATATATATATATATATATATATCTTGGTGATTTTCTCCTTAGATTATCCCCTTTTGATCTTACTGTATGTCTAGAATCCTAAAGTATTTTGAACAAAATAAAGAAGACAAGTGTGAGGAGACGGGGGGGGGGGCGTGGAGGAGAGAAGAGTGGAGAAAAGAGGGAAAAAGAAGGGAATGAGAGCCAGGAGAAAGGAAGGGAGAGAAGGAAAGAGGAAACAGATGGAGGAGGGGGAGGAGAGAGGAGGGGAGGAGAAAGAAGGGAGGAAGGAAGAGAGAGGAAGAGAGGAGACAGGGAGGGAAGAAGGGAGGGAGGAAAGGACAGAGAGACAAGGAGGGAAGGAGGGAGAGAGAGAGAGAGAGAGAGAGAGAGAGAGAGAGAGTACACTGATGTGTGTGCACACGCACGTCTCAAGCTGGCTTGCATATGCCAGCTGAACAGCAGGCTAGCCAGGAATGGCCCAGAGCTGACTCCAGATGGACCCTGGAGGAGGAAAGGGCCAGGCTGGATTCCAGAAATACTTCGGAGACAGAATTGACCAGATCTGTTGATTGATAATGAACCTTGGGACTGAGTGAGGGGGAGGAGTCAGGGAGCTCTGGTGGAGCGTGCTGGTTGGCTGTGGGTGGTTGGGCCTGTCATTTACCAGCGTGGGACCCAGCTACAGGGCTGACCTGGGACAGGCAGGAAGCAGATGGCTGTGGATGGGGTGGATTGGGTACCAGGCTTAAGGTTAAGCTTAGGAGGGCCAGTTGGCTCATTTTACTAGCTCTGATTCTGAGACATTATCTTAGAACTTATCTGCTGCTTTAATAAGGTGGCTTTTTCCCACATTCCTTCACCACAAAACCCCTAATCATTCAGCCAATGACTTGTCTTCAGCAGGCAATACTTTATTTATTTGTTTATTTTTGGGCACCAGGCATTGAACCCAGGGCCTTGCTGTTGCTAGGTAAGCACACTACCCCCATGGAGGGAAGGAAACGATTTAGAGTACAGGCATAAATAAATAAATAAGCCAATAAGCATATAGAAGTTGAAGGGACTTTTTTTTTTTTTGCTGGATCTGGGACTCGAATTCAGAGCCTCATGTTGTCTCTTGAAAAGCTTTTTCTCTCATGGCTGGTGCTCTACCACTTGAGCCACACCTCTAGTATTTTGCTGGCTAATGGAGATGGGAGTTTCATGGACTTTTCTGACCTACCTGTCTTCAAACTGTGATCCTCAGATCTCAGCCTCCTGAGGAGTTACGATTTCAGGCATGAGCCACCAGTGCCTGGCTTTTACAGAGACTTTTATTAATTTTTTGGGTGCCAGTCCTGGGGCTTGACCTCAGGGCCTGAGCATTGTCCCTCAGCTTTATTTTGCTCAAGGCTAGAACTCTACCACTTAAGCCACAGCTCTATTTCTGGCTTTTGGTGGTTAATGGATGATTTAGAGTCTCACAGACTTTCCTGCCCAGACTGGCAGATCTCAGATCTCAGTGTCCTATGTAGCTAGGCTAAGGCACTGGCTTTTTTGCAGGGACTTTTAGAAACCATGTACCTTTGGCCTTTGATATTCTCACAGACCATTGGTTGTACCCCTCAAATAAACACTAGGCTTGACCCTGTTGCTGGTCCCATGTTGGGAGAGCAGGTTTCTAATACCAGGGAGGCCCAGGAATTGATTTATCTTGAGACAAAGACCCTGTGTAAGGGAGGGTCTGGGAGAGTGGGCCTCAGGGGAGGCAGAGGTAGGAGACAAAAGGGATCCTAGCACACTTGCATGTCTTGGAGGAGCAATATGACATCAAATATCAAGAGGGCAACAGGTAGAGGGCTGAGAAGTTCCCTGACCTCTGACCTCAGGGCCTGGATGTGAGCAGCTGTTTTGGCATGGTGGGGCTCACAGAAGAATGAGAAGGGGAAAAAAAATCACAGGGTTCTGCCACTTACAAGCTGTGAGACTCTGAGCAGATTCCTTGACCTCTGTGAGTCTCTATCTCCTCCTCTGCTTTTCCCCAGAGGCTAGGAGGAGGACTGACGTAGGCTGCTATATGGCCAGACACTAAACAGGTAATGGTTTTGTGGTGGGTTGGATGTTTTTGCAGTGTCTCCCCTGTCCCCTCCCCAATTTAGTTTCCAATAAACAAAGGTCACCAGAAGGAGGAGGAAGAAGAGGAGGGAGTAAGCAGGAGACACAAGCCACATGCTGATACAAGTAGAGCATGTGTTAGTATTCTAAATCTGCATCCCAACACACACACACACACACACACACACACACACACACACTGATAGAAACCCACATGCCAAGCCAGGCACCTATGGCTCATGCCTGTAATCCTAGCTACTCAGGTGACTAAAATCTGAGGATCCTGGTGCAAAGCCAATCCCAGAAGGAGAAAAAAAAAAGTCAACTCAAGCAGAAATGTCTATGAAACTCTTATCTCCCATTAACCACACATACACAAAAAGCAAATGTGGAGTTGTGGCTCAAGTGGTAGAGTGTCAGCCTTGAGTGATAAAGTTAAAGGACAGTGCCTAAGGCCTGAATTCAAGCCCAGGACTGGCACATGCGTGCACATGTGTGTGCACGCATGTGCACATACATACATAAAGAAACCCACAAACCATGCAGGCACATTTTACCATCACACACACAAAGGCACCTGAAGGATTCCACCAGGTTCACCACCTTTTGAGAAGCACACCCTGCCTCAGCAAGGCTCAGGACCAGCTGCCCTCCGTGATTGTCTGCCTCCTCAGAGCAGAGAGACCATTCCTGCAGTGCTTCTGGGGTCTCTGAGGCACCCTCCCCCAAGGCCATCTAGCTGAAGCTGGACACTACCCCACCACCCCAGCTCCTGGGATAAAGGAAGGTGCAGAAGAGGGGGCCAAGGTCCAACCCCTCTGCCCCTGGGACCCACCTCAGAGTTCTCTACCACCTTCTCCAGGTACTTCTTGAAAATGGCATAGTCCTGCAGTTTGACACTGAGCCGCTGGTGCTCCTGCCGCAGGGCAGCCATTTCCTGCTTGGCCTTGGTCAGTTCCCGCAGCCGCTGCTTCTTCAGGTCCCGCTCCTTGTTGGCTTTCTTTAGGGCTCGGATCCGTTTCTGGTCATTCTCCTGAGAGAGGTAATGTGGTCAACCAGTCTTTTGACCTTCCTGGAGCTCTGGCCTGCCTGGGGCTGGTGATATACCCTCAATTTCCTCCATCTCCAGAGCTCAGGCTGCCTGAAGCTTGATTCTGGTTATTGAAGGCACTTGGTGAAGCTAAGGGATTTCTGTGCACTGAGGACTCAGATGGGGGCCTAAAAAGGGTAAGCACAGAAGTTCAGTTCAAAATCAGTAGGTGACTTTGAAGTCACCTACTACTACTACTCAGGAAGCTGAGATCTGAGGATCACGGTTCAAAGTCAGCTGGGGAAGAAAAGCTTGTGAGATTCCTGTCTCCAATTAACCAGAGGAGGGAGGGGGGAGGCAGAAAGTAACTCTAATGGTAAAATAACATTAAGTCTTGAGTGAAAAGCTAAAGAAGAATGCCCTGCCTCTGAATTCAAGCCCCAGTCCTGGGACACAAACAAACAAACAAACAAAGCTACAAAAAAGACCCCCACCTCTTTGGAAGTCATTTGGAGAAACACTTTCCCCAAATCTCATATCACACCAGCTTTTTTCCGGTCCTGATGAACTGGACCACAAGAGAAACATGCCCAGATGCCTAGATTCCTGGCCTAGCCTACATACTCAGGCACACAGTATGACAAAGTGTCTTAAGATCAGTCAGTAATTAGCCCCCCACAGCCACACTAGACTCTTCAGGGCTCCTTTAGAAAGCAGCACAGAAGTTCTAATCAAGAAACCTGTGTGTGTGTGTGTGTGTGTGTGTGTGTGTGCGCGCGCACATGTGTGTATTTGTGTGCATGCTGATCTTGGGGTTTAACTCAGGGCCTGGGCACTGTTCCTAAGCTTTATGCTCAAGGCTAGTTCGCTACCACTTGAGCCACAGCCTCCAGCTCTTTTGGTGTTTAATTGGAGGTAAGGTTCTCACAGGGCTGGCTTTGAACTGCAATCCTCAGATCTCAGTCTCCTGAATAGCTAGGATTATAGGCATAAGCCACGGTGCCTGGCAAGAAATCTGGATTTTAAGATGATTAAATCAGTTCTGGGAGGACCGATTGAGGGGGATTGTCTTAGACCATTCTCTGTTACATGAACCTTTAGTGGTCCATCATCCTGATGCTTATCCATGACAGGATCACATCCATCCATCCATCCATCCATCCATCCATCCATCTATTCATCCATCCATCCACTGGATAAAACTCTGCCCCAGGTACTTGCAAGGAACTATGGAACATCTAGAGAGAGCAGAGACTAACAAGTAAATAGGACATTGCAAACATAAGTGGGGAGACATGAATGCCTGAAACTGCCAAGCATGGTTAGAGCACTGAAGGTGAGGAGCCCAAGAAGTGGAAGAGGAGGAGGAGAAGGAGGAGAGGAGGAGGAGGAGGAGGAGGAGGAGGAGGAGGAGAGGGTGTGGACCCCCACGTGCAGTCCTCACTCTTTGTACCTGGATGAATTGCTCAAATTTCTGGATGTGGGCCTTCAGCTGCTCTTCCTTGACCCCAAGTTCTTCCCAGCGCAGGTTCAGGTTTTCCATCCTGCGCTTAAATGTCTTTGGGGGTGCAGGAACAGGGAGGTCAGGAAGACCCTGATGTGAAAGACTCAAGAACCCCCTTTCCCCCCCGACTTCTATCTCCAGACTCAAAAAGGAGTAGGAGGTTTTTAAGAGGCTCCGAGTAGAGCACTGGGAACACTGGGAACTCCAAGTCTTAGATCATTTCTGTTCTCCCCAGAGGAAAGAGACCAGCATTACCAAGCAGGACCCCAGCTCCAGGGGCCCCATCCCACAAAGTAGAGGGCAGTCCAATGACTCTCTCCAAACCCCAGCCAGATCCCTCTACTATTGTGCAGCCTCTGTGCTTATTCCTGAGCCCCCCTCCCCCAACCTCTTTTTTCTGCTCCATGGCCTGGTGCATGATCTTGGCCTCCTTTTTCTTCTCCAGTAGTCGGATGGATGGGGAATCCGACTGCTCCTCCACACTGGGGAACTTCCTGCCCAAGACATGGACAAGAGAGGCAGGTAGATTATGTCTGAGGCCAGGGCAGGAGGACCAGGGAAAAGGGGGGGTCTTCTCCCCCTGCCCAACCAGAATGAAAGAAACAGTGTTTTGAGAAAGAGAGACACATGCTGGCATTTAGGGGGAGCAAAGCATGTCAGGGTGATGGGGCAAGGGGATTAGGGGTGCTGGGTTTATAGGAGAAGGGGGCCGATTGGAAAGTAAAGCCACAGGGTGCGTGTTGGTGGTCCCAGGCCCTAGACACTCACTGGAGCAGTTTCAGCAGCTTTTCCCCATACTGCAGCCGGAAGTACTCGGCCAGGTCTTCTTCTTCCATGATGCCCAGGCTCATGGTGGCAGTTACCTCAGGGCCTAGAAGGCCTATGCTTCACAGAGAAACAATGAGTGACAGAGCCACAGATGGGGGGACTCAGGGGTGGTGACAGGGCACTTGGTTCTTTGGTAATCTTGCTTTCAAGGTTAGGGAGATGGAGAGACTTAGCAGAAGCCAGGCACAGGCGAAGGGCAGGCAGCTCAGGATGAGGCGGTGGGGTGGTGATGGGAGATCTGGTTACCTAGCAACGGGCTGCTTAGTTCTGTGGACCACAGCTAGAACTCTCACTCTGCCCTCTGCCCTCTGTCCTCATGAACTCCTGCTTTTGCGGGTGATCCTGCTCTCTGTCTATCCCTGACCTCCCCCCTCAGGAATTCTGGGAAGAAGTTAGGCCAGATGGTCCACTGGTTGTCATGGTATCCGGGGATGGGGGGGTGGGCAGAGAGGCAGAGTATGGCTGAGAAGTGGAAATCGTTTGAGAAGAAATGGGCGTCTGTGGATGTGGGCTCCTGAGGTGTCCCTCCCAGGCTCAGGGGTAGGTGAGGGAGAAGAGGAGGCTGGGCCTCAGCTGACTGTCAAGAAGAAAAGAGCAGGAGGAAAAGCGGGATTTCAGGCTGGGCAGTGAAGGGCGGGGACGCGGGAAGAGGCCCACAAGTTGGAATCAAGTTAAGTGATGGACCAAGGTGGAGGTGGAGGAGGAGCCAGAAGCTTGGGGACCAATGAGGAGGGGTGTGGGGCTGGACACGCAGGGTAGAACCCCCCCCCCACCCCCAGAGAGCCCGAGGGCCCTGGCTTTCTAGATAGCCAGGCTTTGAGGTTCACAAAAGAAAAGGGAGGGGAAAAAAATCTTTCCAAAGGTTTCATCTTTAAAAGGTTTACTTTCCAATGGCCGCCTTCCTGGGCCTGTCAGCGCCAGCATAAACTCATCTGACCGAGTTCCACATGGTCAACTCGACACCCCCGCGTAAGGGGGCGTCCTGGGGGCTCCTGCCCCTGGGTGGGGCAGGGCTCCCGGCTCCCCGCGCCCCCACCTCCTCGCCCCCCTCCCCTCACTCCCTCCTGCTCCCCCTCAGCCCCCCAACCCCCGCCGTTTGTCTGCAAGCGGGAGACTGGGTGCTTCTGTGGTGTGGAAGTGGGGTGTGGCTGGGGGCAGGGGGGGGGTCCCCGCCGCGCACCGCAGCGGCTCCATCTCAGCACATCGTCGGTCGTCTGGGGCCCCCTGCTGGCCACCTCGCGCACCGACCTTTGTCTCCCTGATGAGAGGAAGAGTCCTGCCCACTCCTGTCTCCTCCTCGCCCTCCCCCCCTGCTCTGCTGAACCTCCCCTTCAGAACCGACCCTAACACACAGCCCGTGGCGGCCAGGCCCTGAGTTCATGCCCCAGTATTAGCACCAAAGAATGTCAACACTCATCCTTCAAAATAAGTCACTTCATGAACGTGAGAGAAAATAGCTGAAGCCAGCAGACAACAAATATGTTCTTGTTAAAGATAGAGACTAGGCAGACTTTCTGCTGTCATTGTGATGGTTCAGCATTGGTTTGGATGCCTGAGCGAGGACACAAAGACAAAAACAAAACAAGTTTTTTTTTTTTCCTTTCCGTCTTTCACACAATGGCAGAAAACTGTGATCACATACTATGAAAATCCAAGAAAGTGATTAATGAGTTGAGGTGCTTTGATTTTAATGCGATTCTGTGCAATTTGCAAGTAGGGGGTTGGTTTTTATGCATTGGAGGAGTATCAGTGATAAGTTACAAAGTAGCTCAAGCCTAAAATCCTAGCTACTCTGGGAGCATAAGATCTGAACATTGAGGTTCAAAGTCAGCCTGGACAGGAAAGTCCATGAGACTTCTCTCTCCATTTAACCACCAGAATGTGGAAAGTGGAGCTGTGGCTCAAGTGGTAGAATACTAGCCTAGAGTGGAAACAGCTAAAGGACAGTCCCCAGACCCTGAGTTTAAACTCCTGTACACAACACACACACACACACACACACACACACACACACACACACACACACACACACACACACACAGCCTTGACTAGAGACTCATAGGGCTTTTGAAGAATGACTCAATGTTATAAAGATGGAAAATCCACCTATGAGTTAAGGATTTAAGTTCTTTTAGGTGCATTGTTCAGTACTGGTAAGTATAGTTACATTGTTGTGCAATTCCTGGTTTCCAGACTATTTTACAAAAATGAAACTCAACAACTTCCTACGTCCCCGCCCCCTGGTAACCACCACCTCACCTCTGCCTTCATGATCAGACCACCCCTGACCCCTCAGCAGTTAGGAGTTGTACAGTATGTGTCCTTTTTTTGTACGTTTTTTATTGTGAAAATATTGTACAGAGGGGTTACAGTTACATGAGCAAGGTAATGAGTACATTTCCTATCGTGTCTTCTGTGACTTGCTTATTTTACTTAGCACAGCATACTCAAGGTTCATCCATGTTGTGCATGTGTGAAATAATCTCTTCCTTTTGTTTGAGCATGATGGCTCATGACTGTAATCCCAGCTAACAGTGAGCAACACCAGGTCCCCACTGTTTACAATGGCCAATCCCCAGATTGTGGTGACTAGCCAATGGTACCTCATCTACAGGGCTCCAGCCCTTACTGCCTCTAAGAGTGACTGGGGGTGGAAGGGGGGAGGGGGAGGGGCTGGGACACAGGAGCCACGTGGTACTTGCAGACATGGGTGAATACTCTTCCCACGGTCTGCTGATCTCCCAGACCAGAGGACACAGGGCCCAGGGTCTATGAGCTTTCAAGGAACCCACAACCATGTCTGAAGCCTGACTTTAATTATTACCTCTAAACTGTAAACACAGCCAGGTGCGGTGCTTCACACCTGCCATCCTAGCTACTCAGGAGGCTGAGATCTGAGGATCATGGTTCAAAGTCAGCCAGGACAGAAAAGTCTATGAGACTCTTACCTCCAGTGAACTAGCAAGCAAAAAGTGGAAAGTGGAGGTGTGGGTCAGGTGGTAGAGCACTAGCCTTGAGTGAAAAAGATCAGCTCAGTGTCCTGAGTTCAAGTCCCAGTATTCTCTCTTTCTCTCTGTCTCTGTCTCTCTCTCTTTCTCTCTCTCTCTCTCTCACACACACAGAGACAGACATGGTTTAATGTAATGCACACAAATGTCATATGCCAGCCTTGTGATTGTTAATTTCACCATTCACTTAGCATTTCACACTTCTGAGAGGTATCTGAGGAGTTGATATTCTCACTTCTCAAGAATTCCCAATTAGGCCCAGATTTTGGAAGGGAAAAAAAAAGTAATTTGTAAATTCAATGAGTGACTCAGGCATATAATTTCAAGAGCAAAATTATAAAAATCCTTTCCCTTCCTTCCACACACGTCATTTTTAAGGTCTGTAGAGTGAATTTTAATGGCTTTGTTACAGCAGCATTTAGCTAGGCTGGGCTGTCTAAAGATGATGGGTTTTCATAAATCTAGCTGTCCTTTTTTTTTTTTTTTTTTTTGCTGTAGGGCTTGAACTCTGGGCTTGGGCATTGTCCCTAGTCTCCTTTTGCTCAAGGCTAGCACTCTCCCACTTGAGCCACAGTGCCACTTCCAGCTTTTTGCTGTGATTAATTGGAGATAAGAGTCTCATGGTCTTTCCTGCCCAGGCTGTCTTCAAACCACAGTCCTCAGATCTCAACCTCCTGAGGAGCTCGGATTACAGGCATGAATCACTGGCACCTGGCTCCAATGCTTAAATTTCTAAGAAAAGACTTTGTCTTGCGTCTGGGAGATGGCTGATCTTTCTCCATCTGCCTATGGAAGCTGCTGCTTGGGACTCTGCCATTTCGAAGAGACCAAAGAGCAGGAGGAACTGCTCATGCTCTCACTGACTGAAGTTATTCTATGTATTTTATTCTCCCCACAGCCTATTCAGCATGGATACCTTGTTCTCCTGCCACAATTTAAATGTCATACTTCTCAGTCTTTTCCTCTCCCTTTCCCTCTTCTCTTCTTTCCTGTTAATCCTTTCCCCTTTTCTTTTATTCTCTCCTTCCTTTCTTCTCTCCCCTCCTCTTCTCCTCTCTTCTTTCCTTTCTCTCAGGTTCTCACTAGGTAGACCAAGTGGCTTCAGACTTAAGGTCCTCCTATCCAGGCTTCTCAAGTACTAGGATTACAGCTGTACACTATAGCACTATACTTATAAGTCATCTGCTGCTTCTCCCTCTTCCTCTTCTTCCTCTCCCCCTCCTTGTCCTTCTCCTTTTCTCCTCTTTCCTCCTCCTCCTCCTCCTCTTCTTCCTCCTCTTCTTTTTCCTCCCTTTCCTCTTCCTCCTCCTTCTCTCTTTCCCTTTTCCTCCTCTTCTTCATTTTCCTCTTCCTCTTCTTCCTATTATTACTGTTTTATTTTTCTGGCACTAGGGCTTGAACTCAGGGCCTCACATTCTCATTTCCTTTTCTTGCTCATGGCTCATTCTCTACCACTTGAACCATGCCTCCTTGCCCAGTACTTTTGCTGGTTAATTATAGTCTCCCAGATTTTTCTGTCCAGGATGACTTCAACTCAGGATCCTTCTGCCCTCAGCCTCCTGAGGCTACTAGGCCTGAACCCTTGGTACTTGCCCAAATCTCTCTGTGATCGGTAGTTTTCCTGTGAACTTTTGCCACCATCCTTCCCTTCACTGCACTCCCTGAACTTTGACTGACACCCACCCTCTAAACACATCTGTTCACGCTAATAACTCTCTGTCCTTGGGTATTTCCCCATTGAGCCTCTTTATCTCCTTGTAAAAGATAGTCTTAAAATACCTTAGAATGCTTTATGTGAGTTACCAGCTCTACACTCCCCCTGCACACTCAAAATTGTAGAGCTACAACAGCCTACAATCATCTGTTCCAAACTCTTCATTTTTTTTTTAAAGGAAGCTCAGAGAATAAACCTCATCTTTGGCCACAGCAAGGCCAGGATTTCCCCAAGGCTAAAAATCAGGAAAAACTCTTCCTTCCTGCTCTTGAGGCTGCTGCTGACACGGGGGGGGGGGGGG